CTTAGTTATAAGAAATTGGTTCACTATTTAAGTTGCTAATTTAAGTTTAAAATAAAGTTAAATCTATGACTTACATTAAATATTGAAAATCAAAAACTGATTAAAATAGTGAATGTGTTTTTTATGAATCATAGGGATACACTTAGCCCAGTTATAAGAACCCACTTTTTATCCATTTTTATTGCATTTCTACTTATAACTTATTCGTGCACTAACTAGCAAGTTACAATACTATATTTGAGAAAGTAAAACAAATTGAAGCTCGCACAAATGCTTTAATTTTTTCCCAATATTGCTTACAAGCTATACATGTAATCATGATAGACATAATCATTTCGTATAAGTTTATCACCAAACAATATGTCATATTTATGACCATATGTTTGCAAAATATATTTAAAATTATAACTCGTAGAAAAGTGTTTATTAATACATTATTTTGATTTCAAAGTAAAACATAATTTATAATTACAAACATTATTTTGTATAATAAATAAGAGGTATTTTCTTAGATTATTATCTTTTGTTTCAAATAATAAATAATATTAAATTTTTCCCATATTTAATTATATTTAATATTAAACAAAAAGTAATGCCATGTTATAATATTAAATCCAAATTATTAATTTGTCATTTCTAGAGACTGATTGCTTAATAAGGTTTTAAATATGGATCTCCTAATAAACCTGTGGTGGTTTACATGTATAATCATACTTTCGACTATTCCAGTGATTTATTGGTAATATATTAGAAAATTATAATTTAAAATTTAATTTTTACCATTTTGTTTTCCAAGGAGTTTAACCAAAAATTTCAACTATTGGTCTAAAAGAGGTCTAATGGGTCCAAAACCCTACCCCTATGTGGGCACTAATTTATACGACTTTTTCAAACCCATGGTTTTTATCGATTTAGAAAGACTTAAGAAGTTTGGAAATTTATATGGGTAATGTAATTGTTGTGCTCAATTAACTATTTATATATTTTAGTATTTATATAATTAAAATAAAGACATAACAACTATATTTGTATACTATCTCCCAGAGTATTCAATGGCAACCAACCGGTACTAAGCATAGCCAAACCAGAGCTGATCCAACAGGTTCTGGTCAAAGACTTTCATCTGTTTACAGACCGTAAGGTCAGATCATATCATCACAAAGTCGTTTCACTAAATGTCTTTCACTCGACTGGTGAAGACTGGAAGAGACGGAGGACTATAGTCAGCCCGACATTCACTTCTGGAAAAATGCGTAAAATGTATCCAATGGTGAGGGAGTGTGTGGACGAGTATATGGATGTGTTGGCAAAGTATGCAAAAGACAGGAAAGATATTAGCGTTAAGGATATACACCTGAAGCTGACGCTGGATGTGATCGCCTGTGCCTTCGCTACGAAAACTAATTCATTCAAAGATACAAACAATCCATTTATTAAGCAAATGGAGGCTATGATTGACATGGGATTCCTTAAGCCATTAATAATGCAAACGGTTCCCAAAATTATTAGACGACTGATAGGCCTTAATATGATAACCAGAGACGGATCCAATGAATTCTTCCTGAATACCACTCAACAGATTGTGGAGTAGAGAAAGTCAGAGACCAATAGTAGTCACAAATACAATGATTTCATTCAACTTCTGGTGGACGCGGAGGTGAGGGATGACCACCAGATCAGGCAAGAGGAGAGTGATCTCAATGAAGCACATCATGTGAATGAGGGGCGGGCTCTCTGACAACGGCCACAACACTCGACAACTGTTCGTATGTATTGGCACTGAATCCCCAAATCCAGGACCGACTCTACGATGAATTGATGGCTGCGCTCGACTCGGACGGACACATCGATTACGACGATCTCATAAAACTCCCCCTTTTGGACGCATTTATATCGGAAACCCTTCGCATGTATCCAATTATCCTCCGACTCGACCGCAGAGTAAAGTCTGACTACAAGTTAGGCGACACAGGGATCACGTTATATAAGGGACAGGAGATTGAAATACCCATCTATTCTATACATCATTCGCCAGAATTTTATCCCAATCCAGAAAAGTTTGATCCTGATAGGTTTATGCCAGAAAACAGACATAAACTGGTGCCCTACACATACCTGCCCTTTGGCACCGGCCCACGCAATTGCATTGGTATGCGATTTGCGTTAATGGAAATAAAGATAAGTTTGGCACAAGTGGTTAGGAAATATCGATTCGTTCCCACAAAACAAACAGCCGTTCCCTTAGAGTTCCTCAAAGGTATTCATCTTTTATTTCCTAAGAGTGTTATCGTTGGCATTGAAAACAGATAATTGTTTTTATATTTATTATGACAATTTTTACGTTTTCAACATTTTTATTATTAATGTTGGATATATTTTTTAATTTTATTTCATACTGTATATGATTTTAATGAAAACTCTATCATTTAATTGTACCAAGCATAAAAATTATAAATAAAACTTTAAGCCCTGATGAAGATCTCAGTGTAGATCGAAAACGTTGGGCTCATCTGTTATTTTTAATACCTTTTCACTGATTAATAAAATAAGTTATTGAAAACAATCCCTTAATTATAATTGTTATGCGAGATATTAATGAATCATTAATTTATAAATGACAATTTTAAGCATATTTTAGCCAAAAACCGTTAATAAATTGCTATAATTTTAAATATCAAAGATTCTTGAATAAAAACTTTAATTCATATAAAATGATCATAATTTTAGCCATTATTTGATGCATTCCTTACATTGAATGCCAATCTATGTGCGAATACATGCAAACCAGTGGCACATATAATGGCATTCAAATGCAACGTCAATGGGGTTGGAAGTGGGCCAGATTGCCGTCAAAAACATCTGGATATTCTGTTTATAAAATGTATTCAATCGGAATGGAGTTTCCGTCGTCTGACCGTTGAATCCATTGTGACTATCGTTGAGATGGCAAACAAGAGACCCAAACGACGGCTTCTGTTTGTTTGCGGAAAATATCTGCGAAAAGAGTTCAAAAATCTGAAACTAAAATCACCCAAAAATTTGAATCTCCAGTACTTCTATTAAATTCTCAATTCAATTGACCATTGAATCAAATGTTTATTGTTTTCAAATGTACTTCAAGTTGAAGTCAAATTGAATAAAAAAATATTGTATTAAATCACAAATTTGAATAAACTAGTCAATTATAAGCAAAATCTTACAATTAATATTTACAAAATTACAGAATTGCACTAGATATTAAAATTGTGATGAACTTTCTATTCATTTTCAATGTAATTGTCATTTGTGTATAATTTAATAAAATAATTATAAGCATAAATTAAATCTGAGTTATATTCGTGTAAATTAAAAATTTATTTATAAATGTTATATTAATAACATTTTCAACATTTCTGTTTCGCATACAATACTATAAGTAATAATTATAAAACATGTCCAGTACTTTCTTACCTTATAGTTTGTAAATGACAGTTAACCTTACAATATATTGTATTAAATTTGTTAACCCGAGTCATTTAATCCACAACTTATTGGATATCATTTCCAACAAACTGCTTAATCGTTTCACTCTAATGTATATTATATACTTACATACTAATTGTTATTAGACAATCACAATTAGTATATATATAGAGTATTTAATTTAAATAATTACAAAGATTAATTGTACAAATGTAATATGTACACATTATTGTACTTATTATATAATATTGACATATTCCCAGATTTATGTAAATATTATTTACAAAAATATCAAAACATTTTTGAGTCAACAATATTTTTATAACTATTTGTATATTGATATTTATTAATACTGTAGTTACTAGTATACCTTTTAATATTTCTAAATGAATAGTAAATAACGCAAAGTTTATTTATTATATAAATGATGTAATAGCTCATTATATAAAGTATCAGTTTAACACTTATTTGTTTAAATAGTTACTTAAATACAGTATAGCAAAAAAATTCATGATCAACAAAACACCTCTAAGTATACTTGCACCTACCACAAATTGCTGCAATAGACAATGCATCTCAATTTAGTGGGCGATTTACAAGCTCCCTGGATGAGTTTCAAAAACTTTGATTTTAATAATTGCTTTGGAATTCAATGTAATCTACTTAAGTATTTATCAAAGTCACTGAATTTTACATACGATATCATAAATGATAATACTGGACCTGGATATCAGATCAATGGCACCTGGACTGGTATGATGGGTAGAATATACAACAAGGTTTGTAAAAATGGATAATTTTAAAAATATAATATACTTGATAATAAATTTACGATACATAGGAGGCTGACATGACTATATCTCCATTTCCAATTCTGGACGAGTATTTCAAGACAAAACTGATTGATTACACGAATGCATACAATGTGGAGGAATCTGTTATATTGACTCNATACGATTTCTAAATTGTATATTAAGTCTTAAACTGGTGGCAATTGACAACACGAAGGGTGGGCCATACCTTTCGGCCATAAACCTAAACCTAATATTTTCCGGGAAAGCATTCCTATGTTTAATGATTATTATTTTCAACGGCACCTCATATAAGAAAATAGTACTCTTTCCCTGCGAAACACCAACAGTCCACTTATGATCTTGATACAAATCAGTCAATGATATAATCGATTTATATTTTGCCGTCTTTTGGTTTATTTTGTTTAAAAGTTGTTTATCTTGTATTGAATTCAATACTCGAAACGAGTGGTAAACAACAATATTTAAGTCTGAGTTGATTAACGTCTCGATTGTATCCATTTGTATGTTCTCTGATTTTAGGCTAAACTTTGCCATCAATTCAGATGAGTATAATTGTGACAAAAAATATGCACTCAATAACCAAAATGTATACAATATTCTCACGAAATTTGTCCATGTACTTAATTTCTCAGTTTGAATATCTGTAATATTATTAAATATAAAGTATAAATATTATATCAATATACGGTAAATATTTTTATTAAAATTGTATAAATATTAACCTTTCCCAAGTAAATTAGCAATTAATTTAAGTGATATATTGGTTATATTATGAAATAGAGAGGTAGATTTTATTTTGCATTTGGTATTAAACGCGATGAACAGTAAAACGACTAAAAATGATGTGACAAAACATATGAGACTTATGGTGTCGTAGAGGGACAACAAATTAAAAGGCATCTCATTATTGGGACGAATATTATTCTCAATGCGAGTCAATATAACAGATTCCTCCACATTGTATGCATTCGTGTAATCAATCAGTTTTGTC